ACACAAGTGCTGAAGTAACAGAAGAGTTACATGCAGAAGGGTCTGAAGAACACCATCCTCACTTACGTGAGAGGTGTCTGGTCCGTACCTGTGGTATGATGCCGGACGTGTTCATGTGTGCTGCATGTGTTGAGGGAAATGTGGGGCGATGTGGTCTAGTCTGCGGGGAGATTGCCACAGACTTTCGTGGAGGTCCATACGACCGAGTAGACCCATGCGGTGGCTGAAAGTGGGGGCGCAATTCAGCTAGTTAAAAAATGACGACGGGTGTATATTGATGCTCCAAGCATTGGCTCGCCAGCCTCAGTACGATGGATTTGCTGGTGACCGACCAAGCTGATGCGTGGTGTATAGGTGCGGTGGCAGTAGAGAGGATAGATTGCGAGATGCGGAGTCGGTTGGTGTTATTATGCTGCTTGTGATAGTCGCGGTTGCGGAGAAGGAGGAGGAGGAGGAGTTTGTAATGCTGGAGATGGAAATGTATTCAGGTGTACAAGGTGTGCTTGGCGTGTTGATCTTGCGGCGAATTCCGCTGCCGTGGATAAGCATCTTGTCGAATAGGCACATTTAGTTAGTGAATGCGTGTGGACAGTGCAGACTGTGGAGGCGGGTACGGAAGACGTATGTTGAGGCTCCTGACACTGGCGCGCCGACCACATTGCGATGACTTCGCAAACGACTGGCCAGACCGATGCATGAGGTGAAGGTGCAATGACAGTGAGGATAGTTTGAGATCGAGTCAACATTGCTGTTGGTGGGGACAGTGGTGATGAGGGTAGGTGTTGACGAGGCGTCGGAAGTGCTCTCACTGTAGACGGAGGTTGGAGAACTGGTAGTCGTCGTCGCCGTCGTCTCAGGGGTTATGGCGGGAGCAAAAATGTGGGCGGTTACAGGGGCAGCATTTGAAGTTATCGGGCTGTTGTTACACTGAGTCCGGAGATGTCCTACTGGACAGATCCGTACGCGGAATGTTCGTTGGCAGTGTGGGCATATTGGGAGTTGTTGGGTGTTGGCGTTGCGGATCGGAGGCGCTTGGGACTTGTGGGCGGCTCATTTAATTTGACAGTGGCTATTCAGTGGCCCCAGTCTTCGTTGCTCTTCACCAGGCTGTTCGGTTTTGGGCAAGGTCACATGTCTCCGGATTGACTTACAGTTTCTTAAGATAGGTTATCAAGGTGTCAGTGTAGCGTCGTTTTTGTTCCTCTTGTCGGAGAGCACTGGTAGCGACATCGCTGTAGAAGAGTCGCTTGCATAGGTTATAATACTCCATTATCACAAGGTGGCCGCTTCATTGCAGTTGTAGCTGCCTTATAGTGGCGTGGGTGCTGAGGATTCCGGTCCGTTCTGACTTCCGCGTCGGTGGTCCTGTCCTGCCACATCAGCTGCAGCATTTTTGGAGACAACTGATGTGGAAATGATTGAGTTTCCTGGCTTGACTAACGTAGACAGTCCAGGACTCCACCCGCTATAGTAGCGTTGTCGGAACTACCGCCCTGGACATTTTGAGCTCCGTGTTGATTTGAACTCTATGGCGGTTCCAGACGGAGGCCTTCCGCCGGCCAAAGGTCTGGCTGCCTTTGGAGATTCGGTGGGCTACTTCCGCGTATATCTTGGTGTTGTGTAAGATAAGGCTGCCTAGGTAGGCGGACGTGTCCACGGATGTCAGTCGTGTTTCGTTCACGTTGGTACTGGGTCTGGTGCGTGCCGCCTCTGGTGCTGGTCCGTGCGTAACCACCGTTTTGTCCGTGTTGATGGAAATTTCAAAGGTTGCGCAGCCGGAGAGGAAGAGATCCACGCTTCTCGTTTTGGTATTATGTGTGCGGTCGTTCGTGAAGAGGAGTCCTTGGACAGTGGTTTTTGAAGTTCGCGTAGTCGCTTGCACTCGTCTGGTGGGGCGAAACAGGCCTTCGATCCTGTAGGCGATATTGATCGCAGGGAGCTCACCACGGTAGGCTTGTAACAGCTTGGGAGAGAATACGGGACTAAATAGGGTAGGAGCGAGTTCGCAGCAAGATCTTTTCTGCAATTTTGCGCGACGAATTCCTGTGGGATTATCATGGATTTGCCGATTCCATTTCCGCTTGCAGTGGTGAACGATAATCGCATCCTTAAAATCTTGAAGAAGTTGTCCGTG